TAACTGTAGCTCCTTCAACTTTAAATACGTTTTAAAATATCTGTAGTAAAATAAGTGTAGCAATAAATGAAGGTTATACTCATATTAAGAAAGCAAAAAATCTCACAACTAGTTTATCATGAGAATTACCTAGATTTAGGGTAAGGATGTGTCTGTTGTTAATAAGGAAAGAATTAACATTTCCGTATAACAGTCTTGGGAAATTTCTATCAGAAAGCAATGGAGATTATCGTCTAATATCACAGATTTAAAAAGCTGCGGAATACTGAATTTAATGTAAAAATAGATTACTGAGAAAGGGATTTGAATGTGTGTAAAATCAAAAGACGAATAGGAGGAGGCTTGGCTCTATGTCCTAAGGAGTGCTCTTTCTGCACAGGTCAAATTAAAAACACCCATCCATCGTAAAATACATCTCTAATTTACAGAAAATATTTACGTCAGCGATTAGAAATCAGAAGTAATGTAAGTGACCAACATGAGACTACAGTAAATTAAATAACAGATAAAAGAAAATGAATCTTGATTGTAAAATTTGATGGAAAAAAGAACTGCAATTAGCAAGCAAATGGCTTACCATAGAAATTCACTAGAGAGTGATATTCATTAGAACAATGAGAACTCACTTTTTAGCCAAACAAGCCATGCAAGATAACAAATACCTAAATAAGCAAGAGTTTATGTCAACTAAGTCAAACACTGAAAATGTTTTTCTGTTTTGTGCCAGTTCAGCTGTTCTATGAAAATGATTCTGAGAAAATAGGGGCAAAACTGTGCAGGGGCCATGGTAACCCACCTTCTCCTCCAGGCACCTTCTGTTTCACTCCTCCACTCCACAAACAAGCTTACAAACCTAGTTTTTACACACAGTGTCTAAAATTCTCGTTTTTGTGATTCCTCTTCAACACAGTCCCAAATGGTTTTTGTGTCTCATTCATTCTACTAAACCAGATTATCGTAAAAACACCAAGTGTGTCCGTTTCCAGGTTCTGAGGAGTTCGTCTGCACCGGCCCTACAAGCTCCACTGTGTCTTTGGAGCACACTTCGTCCCTTCAGTGGTGTCACCCCACCCTTCCCTGTTTATCCTCTAGCTCACCTGCCTCCCGCTACCACCACACTGCCCTTTACAGACTCTCCTCTGCCTGAACCTCAAATGCTAAATTTCTGCAGCATTATGTTTAGGTCCTTTTCTCATATGCCCAGTTAATACCTCCCCATAGTGTTTTGTTCATTGTACACCCATATTCCCAACTGCCTCTAAGAGAGCTGTACGAACCTGTCTTCAAGTTAGAAAGGACATCTGATGTTATTTTTCCTTTTCAGCCTCCTTTGTACCTAAAATTTCTGGCATATTTCTTCTTCATTCCTTTCTTTTCTTTCTCTTCGTAGTGTTTAATGTAAATGAAATAAACATTAGTAAAGTTTTTGGCTCCTTTCTGTGACAAAGTTTCAACACAGCAAGAACTATCCATTTTTACTCTATTTACCTGGATTTCTTGACCACAGTAACCCAGTTTGTAATTAGATGCTCAACTTCTACAACTCATCTGAATGGAATGAATGAATAAAGACATTTTGCTAGTCATTCTTCAATATCAGGGTTTGGATTTTGATTTTATAAATAAATCCAAGAAGTGTTTTTAATAAAAATTTAATAAATAAAGCAAAAGGAAACAACATTGAAAGGTAAATAGGTTTTATGAAGTTTAACAATGTAAAGATGAACGTGTAATTACACGGACTTTTAAATGTTACAAATATGATAGAAAGCAAGAAAGACTGCAATAAAGTAACAATAAATAAATAAATAAATAAATAAATAAATAAATAAATAAGAACCAATCAGTCACAGAAGCAGATACCTCTTAGGGACTGATGCTCCAGGAGCTGAATTTGTAACATAGGTTAGCTAAATTCTCTAAAAAAAGATTTGCTAAATTAACTTCAGTAATTTCTGTGACTAAAGCAGAAAGACCCTTTGGAAATGACCGATGACATATGTGCAAGTATGATATGGCACAAATACCATTGAGAATCATTTCAAAGAGACCCCAGGTCTCTATCCTGGTTTCCTAACCTTTCTAGCAAGTTTGTTGATAAAGAGAAGGCTCTCTTGATTTCCACTCTGATGATCTCCCAGGCACAGTCACTGTATTGCTTCTCTTTGAGGTAGAGATGGATGCCCTGAAAGTATCTCTTCACAGCCAATGTTGGGTCCTCCATTCCCAGGGCAGATTCCGCTTCTTTCATCTGTGGCACCAAACAGGTGCCCAGGTCTTCCAACTGCCGATGGAGTCCACTGAGTAGCCCGTGCAGCAGGGTCATGTTCCAGGCTGTTGAGGACTGCTCTGAGCCAAAGATGATGGAGGTCTCCTGGAGCATCTCATGGAGGACAGAGATGGCCTGAGCCTTCTGGATGTGGCTGCCATCCACCATCTCCCGTAGGAATCCGAAGTTCTTTCTGTCCTTTCGACAGCGGAAAGAGCTGATTCTCTGCATTCGGTGCAGAAGCGCGATGTTCTCCTTGCTGACCTCGACGTGGTCCTGAGACAGGTCACAGCCCAGAGACCCACTGGGACCATAGTTGAATAGCAGCAGGGCCGTGAGTAGAGAGAGCAGGGGGGCCATGCTGAATCGGAGATGCTGTCGGCCTGGCTGAGCTGCAAGTCTGCGGATCCTTGGACTCTGTGTTCTCTGATGGCATTCCTTCTGGCCATTAAATATAGAACATAATCATTTTCATTTTCTAAACATTTCTCTACACTTTTACTTTCTTTTTTAGTTTTCATTTATGTGTTCTTTGTGGGGTCTAAGAAGATATCAATCTACACTATTAATTTTGCAATAGAAGTCTAATTTTCCCAGGAATCTTCAGTTGTAGTACTCCAAGTGAATACATTTCAATCAATTGAGTAAAGATTTTGTCCTAAAATCAGAAGTGTGTGCAGAAATATATTTACACGTACACATACACATACTAATTTACATTTTTAAAGATAAAAATTGTTGTTCTCTGTTTTAGGAACACGTTTGGCCTTGAACCTGGGTAACACTTGTACCCTCTTTACTTTACAAAGGGTGACAGGCTGCCTCAGTCCTGTGGGTTTGTGTGTTTTGTTCAGTTATAGACCATGTATAGTGAATAGGTTCTTTAGAACCATGGACTGGGATTCGTTTAATGTTTTATTCACAGTGGAGGCTGGTGATAATGAGTGAATGGGTTTCTGAGATGATTCTCTTTCTTCTAGAACACATTCTTGTATATCCATGCAGTTATGTTTCACGAGGGTCACAGGGTCAGGACTAAGACAGACACTGCCCTTTCTTTCCACCGCGTGTAACTGGTCTGTGGTGCCGCTCATCTGTGCCAATACTTCAGCAAGAATCCTGGTTCTCTTCTGGGGTGTGTAGGTGTGGAGATTTTAAACCAAAGATCATTTTATTTTCCCAGCAACACCTGACTCACAAAGGAGATGCCACTTCTAGTAAACCTTTTCCTCTGGAGTGACAAAGTGTCCTCAACCCAAACTCTTCTGGAGTCACTCCCTACGTGCAGGCAGACCTCATCCTGAGGACTCTAGGATTCCTCTACCGAGGAGGGCTTGTGTCATTGTTGGAAAAATAGTAACCTTCCAGCATCCTTGCCCTTCCTCTGGAGTGTTTGTTTAAAGAACCCCAGTTGTCAGCGGTGACCTCTTCCTTTCCTGAACCCTGCCCTTAGGTTTCAAAGTGTCAGAAGACCTTCATGCTGATAGCAAAGTTAATTTTGTCTATAGGTGGAAGAATGAGTTACCTAATTGTAATCATTTTGCCTTTACTGGACAGATAATTTTCATGTTACCAATTCAGCTTTTATGTAAGCCTTGTTACTTAAATTTTCGATCACTTTCTTTGGGCAGAGTTTCTGAACTGGGCACAGAAGATTCGATGATAACATCTCTTAGTAGAAACTTAGAGGCACACTGGTCAGTCCTTGCCCGGCCTGTCCCGTACCTCCTCCAGGAAACCAGTTAGAGCCCTGTACACCAGCTGGTACCGAATCCCCTCTGCCAATTCCAAGCCTGGGGCTGCTGCTGGCCCACCCGACATGCCCATTCAGCATGCGTGTTTCTATTTGGCTGCTTTGTTTGTCCTCTGCGTCATATTCAAAATGCAGTGTAATGAGTCGCAAGCTATAATGTGGCAAAAAATAGCCTTCTTATTGTGCTATTCCATTTTAAGTGTAAATAACAACAATAAACATATTCTAATAATGTATTTTTTCCATAGTGGTTTACAGAGTAAACTCTATCTTGCTCATCTGGCATTACTTTCTATTTCATCCTGAGGTTAATGAGATCAAGGGGAAGTAACAAAATTTCAAAGAGGCTTCACCATTTTTCTCTCTTTCAAGACTTTAGATTTTTTACTTTTCATTTCAACTTTCCTAGAAAGCAAAACTGGGCAGTCATTTGTGGGCAAGAAAGAAAACAAAAGTAAATCTGACGTCATGAATGTGAAAGAAGGAAAGAGACTTTCCTGCTGGGTAAATGACAAAGTCTAAGTTAGCAAAATTTAGTGAAGCAAAGATGGGGACCGGGTGGTGTGGCAGAGTGGAAGGATGAAAGCAAGCATGGAATTACACAAAATGGGGAAATGGCTGCCCCTGCCGGGGGGCCCAAAGAAAACCACATTCGCGTCAA